TCTAATCGATCTAAGAGACCAGGTTCAGATTTGGAATAAAATAAGACGAATGAAATGAAGAAAAAGATCAATCCTCCACCCCTTCCTAGCTCACCATGATTAGTCTTGGAGACTTAAACGCTAGGGTTAAGCCATAAACAATTGAGAAATTTTTAGGGTTTCATAGAATTATAAGGAGCAAAAGTGATTCTATTTTTGAATACATTTTAGAACTTATGAACACAATTCTCCTAGCATGATTAATCATGGAGACCTAACTTCAAAGGGGTAAGTCATAAACAATTAGTAATTCTCAGCCAAAAGCTTCATAGGATTATAGGACCAAAAAGTAATGGATACAGTCAAGTTTTCCATGTATTTTAGATCTCAGATATACAATTTCCCACCATAGTTCGTTTTGGAGATCTAGCTCCAAGGGATAAGTCATAAACGAGGGATTCTCAGCCAAAAGGCTTCATAGAATTATAGGACAAAAAAAGACAGATACGGATAAATTTTTACCTACATTCTAAACCTTTGATATATAATTGTCAAATGTTCATGAAAATGGACTACAACTTGAAATTTTTTTTTCTTTTCTTTCAAAATGGAGCTAGGCAAAGCAAAGAAATGAAACAAACAACGAAGGGTTGAAGAGATCAGATTAAAACGAAATGGGCTATATAGAAAATAAATTTGGTTTCTAGACCTCAAAATCAAGTGTCATATGGTCTTAAACCAAACAAATCCAAACACGAAATTTTATGAATGGTGAAATGAATCCCCATCTCAAAACACACACAAACACAAATTACATCAAAAGAACCAACTCACAGGCACCAGATAATCTCACGCATATAAGCCATAACAAGAGCAAAGAGAAGCATCTTAACAAGGCCAAAGACAAGGATCTATAGTCGTACCCCAACAAGAGAATTCTGACGAAAGGAATTGAAGAGAATAAGAAAACTGAAGAGAGTATGGCTAGCAAACAAGACACTCTCTGAAAACACCCAGAGTCTGCAAAACTCACACTTAACTTTGGTTGTGAGGAAAATGACAAGAGAGAGGTGTGATTTATAGGATGAAAGGGTGAGGTAGTGGGTAGGAATCCTGGTATGTTTCTCAGGGTAATTTCCAATGATGGATTTCCAGTCATAATTACAATGGTGCAAGGATGGACAAGTATGGTAGTATTGTGTCATGATTTTCTACTCTGCCCATGCCAATTGTATACCCCACGGTCGAGAGCACCAACCCCAAGTGAGCCCCGTGTCAATCCTCCTTGCATACCCCTCTTTCTCTCTCTACAAAAGCTTCCTTTTAGGAATTCTCTCTCTAAATCTGTGTTTCTATGGAAAGAACACTGTTCGCTAAGGGCACCGTTTCCATTCACTGCCTCTCTTTTGCTTTTTCCCTCCCTCCTTGTTCTTATCTGGGTGGTTTCGAACTTTCCTTACCGAGCGTTTTCAAAATTTTAAAATTGTTTTTTGATGTATAAAACTCCTTTTTTGAATAAAAAAACTATTTTAATTTTATTTT